TAACTGACCCCATATGCAAATCATTAATTGTGATGGCCAGGCTCTCAGGGCTTGGGTCCCCCGGGTGATTTTTGTGGCAATGAAGTGCATTTGTAGATACACTGCAGCTGAGTTGCAGGGCCGTGGCGGCTCCTGAGCGTCGCTGGCTGGGACATAAAGAGGAAAAGAGGAGGATTTCTAAACCTAACCCTGCCGGCACAGGCAAGGATAACCGAGCCGAGGGCAAACGCGGTGACCTTCCAGTCCCAGTAAAGCCAGCTGGCCCCGATGCCTGCATATCCCTGCTTTGTACCTGGGGTTCGGAGTTCTGCCGTCTCCCCATCCTGGTCCAGCCCCTCCCGCCCCCTCTGCAGCCCGCCAGCCGCTGGAAAATACCTCTGCTTCCTCCAGGGGAACAACAATGCAAATGAAACAGACCACAGGAGGCCGCCCTGGACACAAATACCTGGGCACACATGCAGCCCGTAAACTGAATCAGGCTGTGCTCAGACGGCAGGGTGTGTGGCCTTCTCTAGTAACTGCTGCATGGGCACGTCACACCGTCGTCCACTCCCACCTGCCTGGGGCTCACTGGGCTCTCCCTCCGGATGCCCTAGCAAACCTGCGTTACCTTCTGTCCCCCTCTCCAGGTGTGGGACCCAGGAGACCAGAGAGGCATTTTGTCCAGGACAGGCCGTGAAAAACATTACACTCAGCAGGCCAGTGGGACAGACCACGGTCCTAACATCCAAATAATCAGTTCACAAATTATCATAATTATCAATTAATCACCCTGTTTGGACAATGCCAGGCTGGGCCATCAGAAAGCTTTTATGACCTGTAGCGTTTTGTACGTAATAACGGGGAGAGATTTATGGACCCATCACGGCCCCTCTTCCAGCAGCCTGACTTTATTAGCTCAATTTACTTGGGACTCTCCCAGGCCTCAACCCTCCACATGCCGCCCGCAGTGCTGGCCGGGCACCCAGCCTCCCATGCTTCTGAGAGGCACCTTTCCTAGCTCCCCATCCTGACTCATTTGGGGTGGGGGTGGGGGTCATGGACAGAGAAGGGAAGAATAAATTTGAAAAGTCATACCCTTTGTTTGCATTTTCTCCCTGGTTGGACTGTACTGACATCCTTCCTTTTCAAGATCGTCAAAGAAAACAAGATAGTGGGACAAAGGCCAGGGGCTTGTTTCCCTGTCCATATCCCCAGAGAGATTAAATCAGAATTCTTTTAGCTGATAGCATCTCCCTGGGTGGACTACACTCTTGTTAACGGATAAATCCCAGCCCTCCACAAAGTCCAAGAATAAATTTAAGCCTTTTGCCAAATGTCTATCCTATTGGATTTTGATAAGACGGCCATTGAGCCTTAATAATGTCTTCCATCCATTTTCAGCGGGCCCTTAACACGGCTCTTTATTCGTCCCCAAAGCCTCTTCGCCCGGCCTTTTTATTACAGGCTCTGGCGGGCTCTCCAGGGAGCTGGGCGACCCCAGTGATGGATGGACAGCTCGCTAGATTATCTCCTGCAGATGTTTGCTCTGCAGGAGCCCCGGGCTTTCCCTCTAAGTAAACAGACACTAAATAGAGTCGGCCTGAGGGGACAGTCCCAGAGGTCCAGGCACAGCAGCTACAGAGGGCCGCGCAGTCGACCTGCTGCCAAAGTGACTTTGGGGGAGGCACTGGCGACGTGCCCTGGGTGCGCACCTGGGTGGGCGTGGGGCTGGCGAGCACAGGTTCAGCGCATTGGCGGAGACCCACACTGGGCTGGTGCATAGGGACCAGACACAGGGGATGGGGACATGGGGAAGGGCCAGAGGGCGATGCAGAAGGGACAAGGGCTGGAGAGGGATGCAAGGGCCTGCAGAGGGACACGGGATGCGGGAGACAGCTTGGTGTGAGGGCTGGAGGGGACCAGACGGAGGGGGCGGGAGGGGGCAGGACGGCTGGTCCTCAGGGGCGGGGCCAAGCCTCACTGTCACTCAAACAGGAGCTCCAGCCCCATGCTGAGTTCAAATACTGAAGGCTGAGGGTGTGGATACAGACCCGCTGGGCCTGGGCTTCCTGTCTGTAAACTGATAGATGATTTCACAGCACTGCAGCACCTGGATCTCTAATACTTAGAATTTATAACCGCATCTTCCCCACGAAATATCACATTTTCTGCACCTCTTGTGTTGAGCCACTGATTGCTTTAATTGACCCTGTTACACTTCACTGGTGCAGATAAACAACAGGGAATTTAACTGCCCTAAATTGGAACAGCTGATGCTCAGAGAAGTCAGCTGCCCAACCCGAGGCTGCACAGCCCCCGTCCCCAATGCTTCCCCATGGTACTTTTTAAGACGCTCAGACATGCCTGTCTTTGGATGAGGAGAGGCCTGTTCAGTCAGACACTAAAATCCCAAACTACAAAACGGATAAATGGGAGCCTTTGTCCCACAACCGAAGACTTCCCTAAATTGGTCCTTAAATAGCACACTAAGTAAGGTACATACAGTCACACGATGGCATGCATGCGCACACGCACGCACGCCACGGCTGTGACACGTCTGCTCCTAATGCGGGCCCTCTGCTTGCGAGGAAGGTCAGGTGTAGGCTGCAGCGGCTGGTCCTTCCTACCCAGCGGCGTAGGGACCCCTTTGCCTTTGCATTTCAGCCCACATCTCTCTCTCAGGCCCTCCCACCTCCCTCCCAGAGTGTCTGGGAACGGAAACGATGGGTCCAGATCTAGGCCCCAGGGTTCGGTTCTGATCATCCTACCAACATGGCTTTGGGCAACATCCCGTCCCACCTGACTGCCCCAGATGCCAATAGTCTGTATCAGTGCAAGGCTGGAAAATCCTGGAACTCAGCAGATGGCTAAGTTGTGTGTGGTTAAGTGCGGTGGAGGGCAAAGCCCCCTGAGACCGGGGCCTGCAGGGCTGTGCAAGGGACAGGTGCTGGGCTGGGTGCAGACGTCTGCCAAGGCTCCCTTCTGCTCCGCGCCCCATGCAGGCCTCCCTGATGCCCTGGCAGCTGCCCTGGGCATTGGGTCTGTTCTGATTCTGTGAGGAGAGGCTCAAACCCTTCCCACCAGCTTCGCAGGGGCCCGTGCCAAGCTGCAGCTGAGCAGGTCCCTGGCTGGGTGACTCCTGCACCCACCAATGAACAGCCCACAGAGAGCTCTGGCCCATGTCAGCCAAGGCCCTGGGCCCACCGTTTACGGAAGAAAAGGAAGCCACATGCCGGCGCTCTCCCGGGGGGAATGCCGGCTCTGGCTCCGGCCCCAACACGTTCTGTCTTGGTTCAAAAGCAGCCGGCTCTTGCCTCCTCAAAACCTTTACATTTACACTTGACCTTTGACTTTCTGCCTTGACCCTTGTACCCAGGCCAGACCACGCACTGCCCATCCCCCCTAAATAGATCCCCTCTAGCCTCCCGCCAGGCTGTCCCACTGTCAGGAGGAAGTCCTGCCTGGTGTAGGATGGCCAGTGACTTATTCGTGGCGGGAAAACAAGGCTTCACATTCTCCTCAGAGGCTCGGGCCACTGCTGACTGTGGGTCCCTCTGTGAGAAGCAAGAACACCTCAGATCCGGGAGATGTGGGGGCGCCGCTTAATGCCTCTTGCAACCTTACATCCTTGAAGGAATTGTGAACTGGTTCACACTGGCAGGAAAAGGAGGAAGGACGCCGTGGGGATTTACGCTGTGTTTGAGGGAGGAGGGCTGCCCTGGGCAGTGGGCCCAGGAAGGTCCCGGCATCTGCTTGGAGAACAGGGCCGCATGGGGGCCAGACAAAGACCATGAGTTACAGAGGCCGACGAGGTAAAAAGGCCACCCGACCACAGGTGCTTCAGTGGCTACTAAAGGGTCAGAAAATGTCTCCCAGGGCAAGGTTTTCTCCAAAATCAGTGTCTCTGGGGTTGAACCCTGAGAGAAAGGGCAGGTGTCCCAACCCTCAGGGAGAGCTCTGGCCTCAAGCCATCCAGCTGGGAGCAGAGAACTGGCAGTGCTGGGCAGGCTGGGAGCAGAGGCCTGCGCGACACTCACGGCGCGGCATCGCGCCCCCCAGAAGAGGCTGACGGCCCAACGAGCACGCCCTGTGATTCTGACATTATGGAAACAGCACCTGATCTGAGTTAGATGACCCCGTGAGGACTCGTGCTCCCCACAGCCCACTCTGCCTCCTGGCACCCTTGGGGGGCATGTAGGCGGGAGTCCCTCTACTCTGTCTGCTCCAGGAGACTGGCTCGGCCACCGTGTGTGTGCCACGCGCAGGTCTACGTGCCGGTTGTGGGCACGTGTGTGTGCATGACCCAGATTCAGTGGAAGCCAAGCCCCACCTGCTGACGGGCTTTGGGCTTTCGGAGGCGATCTCATCTGCCCCCTTCAGCCGCCTGGCCGGCCTGTAGCGTGCACACGTGGGATGTGCCTGCCTCTGTGTGCACGCTTCCCTCTGGGAATGTGTGTATTTCCCGGGGCCTACTTTACTCTCTGGGTCTTTGAGAGCTGATGTCTGTCAACCAGCTATTCTCCATCGGCGGGCTGCAGAGCAGGAGACGATGTCCACGTTGACCCTTTTTCTTCCCCTAATGGGTTGCTTATTTAAGGCCATGCCCAGGCCCTCTTTGGAGGCTGAGTACAGCAAAAGGCTTTGTTGAATCTGCAGCCAATTGTGGTTTTTTTTCTCCCCATATTCTTTTCATGTGCGTATGCAGTGAAGACAGTTAAATAAACACAACCTGCGTTTATTTAACTTCCGTGCATCTGCATGGCCTGATGGGATCCCCCAGTACAGAGCTCTCCCTGTTTCCCAGGAATGAGGGCGGCCCATGAGGTGACACCCTCCCTGCTCACGAATGAAAATGAGCAGCCATCCTAATTTTCTGGGTCAGGAGCACCGCTCTGTGCACGCGTTCGTTCGACGGCGGGTAACACATTGCTCACAGCCTGCGGCCCGGCCACAGCAACCGCATGTGATCAGCTTGGAAGCACCGGTGGTAAGAGAAGACGCAGGACCAGCTCTCCTACCTTTTGGATGCAGCCCTCCTGCGATGGCACGTCTGTATCCGTCAGCATCTGCTGCAAAACAATTTTGAAAGGTGTTAGTTTCTGATGCAATGCCGTTCTTCAGCAATAGTGGGCTGCAAGGTGTGCGGCAGATCCCGTGTGCTCTGATGCACTAAGGTAAGACCTCGGGCTTCTCCAAAATCTGAAAGCAAGCACAGCCAGCATCCCCTGGTTGCTGAGAACTGCAAGGGCTCCCCCACGACGTTGCCTCCCTGGGTAGGCAGCTGGTTCCTCACAGGGCAGAGCCACTCTGTGTAGCTCACCCTGGGCCTTTATTAACCGGGGAGGGACCCACACATTATTAAGATCAGTTTAATGGGGACACAAAGACTTCTCAGGACATGTGAGCAGCTCTCCTTGCTTCCTCGGTGTTGCACAGTGGGTACAGCTGGGTTTAGGGATGACTGCCAGGCACCACCCCACAGGGCTGAACAGGGGGTGGAGTGGTCCCCCGCATGGGGATTGCAGTCCATCTGTGGGGAAGGGCTCAGGGGACAACCAGGTTCATCTGGACTAAGTCCAGGCACATCCAGGGAGCGCTGCTGTGGAGGGCAAGGTGGGCGCACAGGGGCTGGCTGCCCCTGGCGGGGTAGGCAGGCTGGCATGATGCCATCTCTCTGTTTCCTCTCTCCTGGCAAATCAGAGGGAGCAGCATCTTAGCTGGCCTCTTGTCCCAGACACCCAGGAAGAGGATGTTTCTCTGCTGTTTTTTTGGGAGAAGCTTCTTAAGGCAAGTCCAGCTAGAGAGGAGAAGCAGTGGGGCCCGTGCCACAGAGGGAGCTGGGGGCCTCGACGACCACACCTCCAGCAGCAGGCCTGGTGCGGGGGTGCCTGCCACACCTCCACCGAGGGCACGGGAGTGGGACAGCCAGGGGAGGACGTGCCAGCTGCTCCGGGTCTTCCCTCCACCTGACAGCTCTGCCATTCAGCTTTTCTTGGCCCGGCCCTGGACTGCCAAAGTATCTTGCCTGGCTGGCATCTCTAAAAACCACTGAGTTCCACTCCAGAGGGACGGTGTTTCAGGGATGGGCCCCGGAGTGCTTTCTAAGCTAAGCAAACTGACAAATTGGCTGCAAAAATGGGGTTTCCCCTTCTGGATGGCAGGTGCCATGCAGGGACATGTATATAAACTGCAACATTTTCATGAGGATAGAAACCAAGAATCGAAATGAATATTGGAAAAATGAAATGAGAAATGGCATCAAATCCAGGGGTTTTATTTCTCTTCCCTTATGATCACACTACAGCTTTTCCACATTACAAACACAGCGTGCTGGGTGCCCCCCAATGCCACCAAGGCCAGGCAAGGAAGCGCAAGCAGGTCTGCCCTGGCCCAGCTGTAATAACAAGTCATATTTTTAAATGTTGAGCATTCTAACCAATCGGGGATTTTATGTTTCTTTTAATAGACTCTAAAATTGTGGCTTGGAAAGTGGCTCTAAGTGCAAACAGAGAATGAGACATAAAGAGGTGAAGACCAGAGCACAGACTGTGGGAGGGTCCCCAGGGGTATCTGGGAGGGCGCATGCTCACTGATGCCCTGGGGCCAGATGGGGCCGGGCCAGGGGGGCCTCTGGGAGGCCCTGGGGAGTGAGGTGGCCCACTCTCTCGTCCAGGCTGCCAGGCCTGCACCCTGCACACAGCCACCCGGCAGCACGGAGCCGTTTGTGAGCGTAATGCAGGACTGGGGGCTCCCTGCTTGGGTCACTGGGACCCTGTGCCAGGGGAGGGCTGTGGTGCATCTGCCTGCCCCTGTGAGGGGGCAGCTTGGACAGAGGAGGAAACTGTGTTTTACCCTTCTAAGGAGTGAAGGACTCAGGCCTTGGACAGAATCACAGGAGGGCAGTGCCCATGAAAGCGACTTCTCTTCTCGGGTGCCCTGCCTGAGCCTTGAGCCCCCCTGTGACCTCCTGTCAGCCCACTGAGTGGAGTCAAAGGAAGCCCCCACCCAATGCCAGCTGCTGGGGACGCCTGAGCCACCCGACCTGGCCAGACATGCCTCCCACGTGTCCTGAGGCTGCAGGGGCCACTCCCTGCATGAACCAGGGACCCTCCTGCACACACACGGCCACTTGCAAAGCCCCTGGGACAGGCAGGTGTGATCCTGAGCATGTTCTCAGTCTGCGAGGCCAATGTGTCAATGGCGCCGGTGACTCTCTAGGCAGAGTTCACAAGCTGGCCTTCTCCAGCCGCAGCCTGGCCCAGCCTGGTCCCATTCCCATGCAGGCCCAGCAGTTTGGTGACCTGTAGCCACAGCATTGCCTTCCCCCCAGAGAAACTAACTGCCTTTGGAGGAGGAAAAAGGTGTGGAGGTCGTGACCTGCCCACAGTACCCAGGCCGAGCTGTGGGCAAAGCTCTGAGCTCATTCTCCACACACACAGCAGAATCCTCCTGCTGTGGCTCCAGGCCCAGGTCTGGAGACGCCTGAGCCCATGGTGGCCCAGGGCTCCCCAGCAAGCCGGGGCAGGCCGGGCGCTCCTCCAGGAGTCAGGCTGCCTGGAAGCAGAAACGGGCCTCCCAGCCCTGCTGCCTCTAGGGCACATTACTGAAGATGCGATATTCCCTCCAGTGTTGCTGGAGAACCCCGTGCCACCCTGCACAGGCACCCTTGGTGACAAGACATGGCACCCCGGGCCCCAGGCTGATGCCAGCTCACAGCTCGCCACACATACCCCATTCTGGAGCCTGGGGCCTGGGTGTTTCCCAGGGTGGGCATTTGTGGGTCTCTCGTTGACGCTGGCAGGGAGATGCCCTGCACTTCCCTGTGGGGAAGAAGGCACCACACCCAGAGTTCAAGCCCAGCTCTCCTCTCCTGGTGTGTGGATCATGGGTGCTTTGGGAGACCCTCATCACTCCAAGGAGGGTCACCCAGGGGCTCCACCAGACCCCAGGCACCAGCACACTCCATACTGGCCCTGGGAGGCCACCCCCTCCGCCATGGCAGGCGCCACCCCCGCTGGATTCTGGCTTCGTGCTCACCTTGGTTTTGGTGGCCCCGACCTTCCCTGCTCCCCACAGACCTGAGGGATGGGCAGGTGTGACCCCGAGCATGTTCTTGGTCTGCGAGGCATGTGACAGACACCGTCGTGGCCATCTGGAAGCACTGGGGAGATCCCCCAGGCAGACACCGCTTGTGGGCATCTCACTGAGGGCCGGAGGGTCCCTCAGGCCAGTGGTGGGCTCCTGGTCAGCCAGCAAGAAGGGGCAAGGGGGGGTCATTCTTCCCCAAAGGTTCCAGAGACTGTCCTGGAAACACGTCCTGTTTGACGCGACTGCAGGACTGAAGCCAGGCTGTGCCCAGTGGGTGTGGGGGGCGTCTGGGCGCAGGAGGCCCTGGAGAGGGGCAGCTGGGGGCCTGCTGCTCTGGACTCCATGCAGCACGTGGCAGCTCTCTGAGGATGGTGCAGGAATGTCCCTGCAGTGTAGGAGCCCCGGGGTGGCCCTTCCTGAAGCTGTGTCCAAGGCACCCACACTGACCATTCCTAAGTCATCCAGAAACCCTTGGTCCCAAGCCAGCATGAGCAGCTTTCCAGGGAGAGCCTGGCAAGGCCTCCACGGTACAAACCGTTTCCTCCCCACCTCATGGAGAAGACGGGGCCACATCCCGAGGCCTCCCCCAGGCCTTTGCTGGCCCCTAACACAGCTGGCCTCTGTTCAGGCACAACTGTGTCCCAGGCGCTCCAGACGGAGGGCAGCCGGGGCACTGTCTTTCATCAGAGGCTAAGAGGTGGCCAATGGCACATCTCAGGAAATGCAAGCCTCACGCCATATCCAGGCCCTTCTCGCCACCCTGGGAAGAGCCTGGTGAGGTCTGTGTACTGGCTCAGGGACGGCTCCTGCCTACCCAGGAGCCTGTGGTCAGATGGGCATGTGGAGATGGTGTTCAAGCCACACTGTCTGTACAGGTCAAGATGCTGTGCGTGACGCGCCTCGCAAGAGAGAGCAGCAGAGCTGTGCACATCCATGCTGGGCGGGCTGGCAGGGCCAGAGCCTCTTCAGGGCCCTTCGGACCCCTTCAGGCAGCAGGGTGCGGACGGCCGAGCCATGTGGCTTTGTATTCACAGCCGTAGGACCCCGGGTGACAGGAAGAGCCCACAGTCATGTGATGCAGAGAGAGGTCAGTGCTGGGCCAGTAGCAACCTGCTCAGAGGGCATGGGCACTGGAGACTTTGAAGGAGAGCCCGCCTGTGAAGAAGGGCCTGGCCCAGAACCGCTGCTCCGGCAGCCTCTCTCCACCAGCCCTACTAACAGCTGCCTGGGCAGGTCTGCACACGGTTACCTCTGCTCTTCCCCCAGGGCTGACCTCGGATGAAACCCAGGGGACACACCCTCCAGAGCCTCCGAGCCCAGCCTCCCCTGGCCACGCTGCTGAACGCCCTCTTCACCAGCTCGCTGTGTCCTTAGCACTTACGCTGCCAGCCGGCTGGCTGCTGGCAGCGGCTGTTGCAGCTCTCAGCCCCATCTCCGCACCCTGGCAGAAGTGTTAGGTGAGTTTTGATTAAGTATTTTAGCCAAAAAAGTTAGGTTTGACCTCCGGCATTTCTCTTCCCTGGCAGGCGTCAGTGCCAGCATTGAGCTAAGTGGGTTTGGTCAAAACATCTTTTTTGACTCTTAAAATAAATACCCTCTGTTCTTCAGAAAATAAGCCCAGAGCAGTTACACACAGACATCTCATAGGCCCACAGCTCTGGAGTTCTGGTGTGTCCCCCGAGGGGGGCTAGGCTTTCTGGCCGGTGTCACAAACGGATCACAGAAGGTTCTCTCCCTTCAACATAATCTGTTATTAAAGTATCTGAAAACATAGCTGCTGCAGGAGGGAACCCAGACGGAGCCCCGGCCGCATGGCTTCTAAAGCCACACAGAGCAGTGAAGCCCCTCTGGCCTGTGGCCTAGGAGGTCAGCAAGCGCTCACCTGCACTGACCTCTTAACCTTGACTTTCAAGCCCAGGCCTCTGAGACCTGTTTCTTTCTTGTCCTTTGCTGAAGTTGGTTTTTCCACCGAGCAATGCAT